GAGTACCTAAGAGCCCATGGATAACCATGGATAGAAGGGGTGCTAATACCTTCCCCTTCTATAATCTACTCCCCGAACCCAAGAAAAATCTCAAAGGTTTTTGCTGTGCTTTTTAAACCTTTCCTTAGGATAAAATAAAAAGTCGGTGGCGACTCTTGCTCAACCGAAACATTTGCGAAAACAAACGCAAAACCCTAGTCAGTTCTCCCACCGTATCACAGCAAGGAACAAATCTTTTTCCATATCAAATTCAGAATTATAGTCCAAGCTCGGGCCCTTTTTACAGTACAACGCTAAGCCAACATTACAGACCCAAGCGGATTCCATCCAAATCAAATCAATTACAATAGAAAATGGAATCAAATCTAATAAACAAAATCTGCAAATCTTCAGAAATTACTAATACAATCTAAAATCTCCAAGTTTACAGAATTGAATCACTATATGGACAAATCTTTTACTACAACGATGTTATAAACAAAATCCAATTACAACAGAAAACTGTATCTCATTGTATATATTGCAATTACAGCGAATCTTACAAAATCAAAATTAAGCAAAATCTGAAAAGCAAGCTTACGAAATCAAGACTTACAAAAGAAATCAGTTACAATCCAAATCTCAACCAATTATAGAAATCTCTAATTCCCTAATCATCTCCAATCTATACTAATTGTAACGACAAAAACGTGAAACCCTAAAAAACTAAACTATATAAACCCAGATGGTTTCTATAGAAAAGGGTTTTTTTTAACGGAGAACAGAGGGAAGAAATTCTGGAGAAGAAAGATATCGAGCCAAGCGTGAAGAAGGCGAAGAATCCATTAGAATTTTGAGGTCCGAAACCCTAAATGCGTAACTGTGTGTTTGCTGTCGCGCCTCCCTAATTGCTGTTGACTTGCACCACCATCCTCAAACCTTCAATCGTCGCCAAAGACCTGCAAATCGAAGGAGAAAAGGGAGGATTAACTCAAAGCAGAAAATCGAGATTCAGAATGCAGATACGAAAGGGGTAAACTTAGCTTTCTTTTCTTTGATTATTGATTTGGGTTTTGCGGGTTAGATTTATGATGGGGTTGTATCTGATCGCACCTCCATGAGAGAAAATGAAGGTTAGGGTTTGGTGAGAGGTTTGTATTGCGAGAGGGAGAGAGAAGACAATTGCTATAAAAACAGAGAATGAATTGTAAAAAAATGAAAAAAATGACTTATATTCTGTTTTGATCCCGTACGCGTGTGTTCGTGATAATTATCATGCACCCTTCAATCATGTCCGTAGATCTTGATTGGACGGCCATAAGACCAAGTCCACCATAAGCTTCGTGCGCCCTTGAAACACAGGATCAACATGACCCCCTTTCAAATGCGTTGGGCCCCGCCCAACTGTTATTCACACCCCCCGTTCCTCTGTTTACTAAATTCCAAAGTACTTTACACCCCCCTGGCTGGACCATTCTGGGCTTAACCCAACCTTTATTAGCACCCCCCTTATTTACTGGTCAACTAGAAATTGCACCCCCTGATTTAATTAAATAATTTTTATTTTTTTATATTATATTTTTTTATCTATTTTTTATATATTATACTTTTATTATTATTATAATTATCTCATTTTATTTATAATAATAATAATTATTATTAATATCAATTTTTGTTATCATATTATATTTACTATTTATTTATCATATGAATAAATTATTTTTATTTAAAAACTCATGCATATATATTTTTATATTATTTGTATTAAATATTTCTATTTTCATGCATTAATCAAAATATTTTCACAATTAATACAGTAAAAAACACAAACCAATATCAAATTTATTTTCGCAATAAACTAAACTAATTAATAGTCTTTTTGCAAATGGGTTTCAAACTGATTTTGACTTACTACGCACTCAGTCAAAATCTCCACAATCACTACTCCCGACCGAGTGCGAAGTGATTCAAAGTATATTTGCAAACCCCTAAAAAACACCAACCCATACGAACTACAAATTGGGACTCTGATTCTTCATAAGAGGATACGTAGGCATGCGATCTAAAATCGTGGCGAGTCTTTCTAATTAAAACTTAAAATCCAGTTTACCCCAAACCTAAACCTAGAGCTTAATATCCTTGTGAACAAGGTGGATGAAAGGTGCCTAACACCTTCCTTTTGTCCAATTGAGTCAGAAACCTAGAATCTCTGTCTGCGAATTAGGGTTTTCTGTTAGATTTCCTTCCCTAGGATAAAAATTAATAGTGGCGACTCTTGATTAAAAATTCAGTCGCAACATCTAGCAATAAGTTTCCTCTAGTTTTAAGAGTTTTTATGGTTTTAACGACTAGCCTAATGCCTCATACAGAGAACATAATATCAGTTATCTCAAAGAATTATTTCAACCTTCATATAGTTGGTTAAGTAGGGTATAAAACCTTTTAGCCACTTTTAGAGATTTGCAGCAGAAAATCCACTGTGACAGCCACAATGCTAAAAAAGCAGTGTGGTATTTGTCCAACACTTTGACAGTGGTAGTGTCATGATGGTCAACAATGTGTTTTCCAAAGGTAGCAGAGTCAGTATCAAAATTAATGGTGTCCTCATCTCTTTCGTTTGGGTCAAAAAATTTTCCAGTAGGACGAAGACCAACAATAGTCGCTACGTCAAAAATGGTAGGTGTAACCATTTCACAAGGGAATTGAAAAGTGTTGGTTGTACTTTCCCAGAAATATAACGCTACGACAAGTATGTTTTGGCAGTATGGAGGGATAACTCTCGATAGTTGAATTAACTCATAAATGCCCATATCTTTCAAGGTCTGTGCTTTCTAGTTCTCGACTTTGTCTAACCAAAGAAATGTAATCCTCATTTTTCTTGGTCGAAAGGGTGGAGCGGAAAACACTATAAGTGAGACTCATATAGTCTAAATCAATAGGATTCTTTGCATCAGTAATGGGTTTATCACTAGGATTCTTTGTACCAGTAGTGGATTTTTTTCATGTTGACAATGGGTTTAATGCGATGGTAAGAAGGAAAAAATTCCTTCAGCTTATCAGCATTAAATTTAGGGTCATGTAGCAGACTCATAAGTGCATGGATCTTACCGAAGATTGAGAAAGAAATCAATACCTGAGATTTGTAGATGAGAAATTTCTCTTACTGCATTGGTGGCTCGGGAACCTACTTTTGATTTCCAGCGGCGATGGAAGCTTTGAGTCTGGTAGCAAGAGGCAAAGAATATTTAGAATCCTTTGAGATTTTTGATTTTGAAGAAGCATCCATTGTTGCAGATGATAAATGTTTGAAGGAAAAATAATTAATGATGTTTCTTTGCCATAAGAGGAAAGAAAGTTAGAGAAAATCCTCTGTTTACAAAAACCAGAAGAAGCGGAAGATGGAAAAACAAGAAGAAATGAAGAATAACGGTATTTATATAAAGAAGAAAAGAAACTTTCTAGTTTCGCATGTGACAAATGGCGCTAAACGTGGGTCACAAGTTCTTCGTCTAGAGGAGGAAGTAGACAGTTGATTTGAGTAGCCCACGTCGTCTGGGGAAATCAGAGCCATGACTAACTTTTGAGATTGTACGTCTCAAAGTGATGTTTCCGGAATGTGGTCATGATGATCACGACGTCATCACATCACTGGTCATAATATCGAAAAGATTCAAAAACACCATTATCTCCGGTTAATCTAAATTGGCATTTTTATGGGGCAATTTGTTAGCCTGGATTTTCGACCACATTGAACTCAACATATGAAAGAGAAGTTCAGAGAAAAACTAAGTAAAATCTAGAGGTTCAGAAGAGCGTCTCGACACAATCCCTTAAACTCAAGAAATCGAAGTTTCAAGTATGAGGCAGAAGTTGGGACTTAGCATTTTTCTCAGGACTATTCGTTTGAGAAATTTGACAACAAAAAATGTAGTCATGACTTCGACGTCAAAAGTTAGCATGAGTCTTTGACATCATTGGATTGGCGCGGAGAAGAGCAAAATAACTATCTTTTAGTCTTATACAAAAGAATGTGTGGAAACAAATCCAGAGGCGAAAAGTATGCAACGAAGATGTGGCGAGTTCAAAGGAGAAAGCCGTTGCAGACAATTAAATATCTAGGGTGTCAAATCATTAGGAAAACTCACACACTCAAAATATCCAAGTTTAAAGAGAGAAACAAGTAACCTAAGCGAAATGTATGATTCTAAACATCATCTTTTGTTTTGCATTTTAATCAATCTTACTTTACTTTAACTTGCCTTTATTTGCATTTTATTTCTACTTTTTCGCCTTACTTTTATCAAGATTTCGACCAAGTCGAAATGTCTTATTTTTTGTAAATTTTACATTTCAAACTTAGTAGAAACCAAAATAGATTTTACTTCACATCAGACATTAAGAATAAAGTCACCAAATTTATGCACATATGTCCTAAAATTAATTAGTCGATTCTACAAATAACCATTTTCAAATATTAACGTTTGTTTACTAAATTTCACGATAAACACCATCAAACATAGTTGAATAATGAATTCTCTTCCACTCTAAATAAGGAATTAACCGAGGAGAAGTACTGCAAAGGAAAATTGAACACCAATACAAAAAAACCCTTCCCTAGAATGAGCAACCGAGACACGGACACCACCACAAATGAACTACAGAGCCCCCTAGCCACCGTACTCGCTATTAAAATCCCCCAACATATTTGTTGGTTGCAGTTAAGAGTCATGATTACAAGGGCACGGAACGAATGTGCGTGAAGCATGAGCAAAGAAAGAAGAAGAGGGAAATGTGTCGGTAAAAAGGTTAGCATTGACACAGACATCTTAACTCAATTCCCAACATCTTGTCTCATTCCCACAAGGCTCCCCCTTCACTCTGTACTATATACCTAACACTATCCCATTTGCATTGTAATCCAACCTGCTCCATCCCCAGTTCTTATTCTCTCTCACCACTCACATGCACCCTTCTACCTTATTGTTCCATAGTAGGTACTACTCAATCACATGCATATCACTATGGACCTTCATTTGACTCTCGCTCTCTCCAATTCTCTTGCTTACAATGCTTCTGGCAAGAGCAAGACTCATTTCCCTAATAAGAAGCGCAGTTTTTCCCAACTCTTGGAACTTGTAGAAGAAACCTCTAGTAACACCAACGTATCAGATGTTATGTTTCCCACTCTTTCTCTCCTCCCATTAACTCCACATCGACACTCAGATCATCATGATCATCAACACTCCTGTCACAGTTCCTCTTCCACTATCACATTCCTTGAGTAATTTATTATTAACATTCTTCAGTATATATTTCATTATTACTACGTTCATAAGTTAACAATATGATATATGACTGATTTATAGGAGAGGTGAAGATGTTGAAGAAGCTCTCATGGGTTGGCCTCCGGTTTATTATAGGAGTAAGAAGAAACTTCGCTATAATGAGGATCACGTGGTGTCAAGAAATTACGTGAAGGTGAAGATGGAGGGTGTAGGAATAGCTAGAAAAGTTAATCTCAGCACATATCATTCATTTCAGACTCTCAACCAAATTTTGATGGACATGTTTGGAAAATGTACGTATATCTATCTATATTATTGTTACTTAGTTGAGATACTTTGATGGATTTATTCATGCATTTGGAAATTATTAACAGGTGATGATGACCAAAAGTATGAACTGGTTTATCAAGACCAAGAAGGTGATTGGCTTCTTGCTCAAGATGTTTCATGGAGGTAATTATTAATCACTCTTTACATCTAAAATAATTGTTTTTTTTTGGTAGTATTTCTATATAATCTTTATCTTATATATAAATGAAGTCCATAAACTTATTTTTAAAATGTTTTTAAAAAATATAGTTTTAATTTTTCAATCAATTTTTGGTTGAAAAGTAATTTCAATAATAATCTTATAATGTTAAAATATTTATTAATTTATTTATAACTTTTAAGCTTTGTGAAATAATTTAAGAGGACCCTGATGATTTTTTTCAAATAATCAAAATTTTTAATTTTAATATCCAATTAATTATTTTTTTTCCATAATTTCCAACCTAACTATATTTCAAATAAAACAAATGGATTAAAGAGGAGAGTTCACTTGAATCGACACCTCTTACATTTTTTTTTCTTTTTCTAATTAGACGTGAATTTACTCGTGAACTTGACATTATCTGCAGAGTTACTTACGAATTTACCTGCGCATGTTTGTCTGTAGGTAAATACGCAAGATTATCTGCAAGCAAATTCGCAGGTAATACCAAATTCACAGGTAAAATCACAGGTAATTGAAAAAAGTAAAAATAATATAGAAGGCGCCAATTCAACGGCGCATCTTTTTTTAATTTGAAAATAGTTAGATTGAAAATTATATGAAAAGGTCGATTAATTGGATATTAAAATTAAAGAATTTGATTATTTAAAAAAATCTTGTATTTTTTTTAAAGAAAATATAATTGATTTTTAGACTTATATGTTGCTGCCATGTTTGCACTCGAAATTAAAATTTATATTTATTTAACTCAATTAAGATAAAACTATTTCTAATCACCTAATTTAAGATGAATGTTAAAATAGAGAAAAAGGGTGATACATTCGCTAAACTAATTTTTACACCTTCAAACAATTATTATCATATATTTAATTAAATCATTTTTTATTAATTTTTTTAATGATATTGTAAATTGATGACTTTAGATAATAGTATAAAACTATTATATATATATATATATATATATATATATATATATATATATATATATATATATATATATATATATATATATATATATATATATATATATATATATATATATATATATATATATATATATATAATTCTTGAAAATATTTATTTATTTATATTTTAAACTTAATAGGTATGAAACACAAAAATATGTGACAATAATTATGTAAGAATGGAATAACACAAGCACATGTATCATGAAGTTTTTGTTTGAAAGGACTTGCAGTCATTTTTAACTATAAAAACTTGTTTGTTTGGCTGCAGAAGTTTCATTGATTGTGCTCAACGCCTCAAACTGCTCAAGAGCAGAGGATAGTGCAACCCAAATCTTCATTAATGTTTTAATGGATACCCAAATATTAATTAATGAGTATTTTTGTGTTAACTGCGAGTATTTAAAGTAGTTTGACTTTGAAATATAATTTTAATTTACTAAAGATAATATAGTCATTTCAAAATAGATTTTTAATAGATGTGACTAAAAAGATAATTATATAATACAAAATATTGGAGATTCTAAATAATATGTAATTCATATTTTGCTGTCAACGGTTAAGAGTGTTATAAGAATTTTGAACAAGCAAAGAGATTGGAGATATATCTTTGAGTAAGATTAATATAGTTTTCATACATCTATTATATTTTTTAATATTTTAGTTGGTTTGATCTTTTTTTCATCCTTAAATTTTAAATCTTTAATTTTGATGTTTGAGTTACATCTTACTCAAACATTTTTAGAAATGTGATTTTATTGACCCAATACATAAGTAGACTTAAGGAAATCTTTGTCAATAACATTCATCAAATGCATTGTCTTGGTCATTAACAATAACATAAGAGATTTTTTATTATTGGAAATTTCAACAAATCACGACACTTCATAAAATTTCAAATGACACTTTTATCTTTATCAGACGTCATATAAGAAAACACAACCAAGTATCTTATATTAGTAAAAGTAACACCGACCAAACTCAAGCAACGATAGAGAGTATTTATTGATTATATATTGAGTATCTCATTTTATAATTATGTTTGCAGTGTACAATGCTAATACTCCATCACTCTTGAAAAACTAATCCCTCGTTCGAAATTGATAATCACATTTTAGGAATGATGTATCTTTACGTTTCACTTCTTCTAGTACTATTTATATGCATCCATACAATAAGGAACATCTGATGACAGTTGGTCATACAATGTTTTTAGTGTTTAAAATTAATATTCTTAGGAGCGTTTATTATTAAAATGTTTTTGTGTTTGCAGATTCTAATAAAGAATTTGAAGATTCATGGAAAATACAAAACTATGATGAAATCATCCCAACCAGAAAAAAAAACTATTATAGTATTTCACTATAAAATATATAATTTTTGTAAAACTAACTTCTTATTTACCTGCTATAAACTTTTCGTCTTAGTGATTGGAGACTTCTAATATCTGAAAGGTTGTTTTGACAAAGCGGTTATGCTTGAGATGGAAGAATCCTAATTAGAGTTGTCAAATGGATTGGCCTGACTCCAACTGCTTCGGTTCAGATGGTCAAAACATATAAAGGGATCGAAATGGGTCGGTCTGATTATTTCATGGGCTTCCAAAAATGAGCCCAGTCCAGTTTTTAATAGGCCCTGTGACCCTATGAACCGGTCAATCTCTTATTTCAAAATTATAATTTTAAATTTATAAAAAGAATGTAATTGAGAAAAGCTACATAACATAAGTAGAGAGTAATCATAAACTTAGTTAAGTGATATTTAAAATATTCATCAAATCAACATCCATATATATGAATACTACGAAGATATCTATGTAAAAGTAGAGATGAACTGAATATTATCTCCAATACTTATCAAACTTTCTCTTTATCTCACAACCATTTATTTAATCACATCATCTTGAAAATATATCTTCATCCTCTTTAACATTTATTTTTCACTTGAAACACACTTATGTAATCATATCTTAGATCAATTTTTTCTCCAAAATTAACTAAAGTTGTTTTATAAAAATCATTTTTTAATGGGTCAGCCCGAAGCCTGCTTGGCCGACCCGACCCGATCCATAAAAAACATATGTCTGATGGGTTGTGTTGTACCCCAAAATTTTCCCTCTCATTTATCAAGATTTTTCTCACAAGACTTCTTTGGCTCAAGACAGGATTAGGGTTTGGTCAGCTCAAGATACCTCATCTTGCACTGATAACCCAAAATTAGGGTTTGAGTTTGCACAAGGATTTTTGGACCATCAATGCTTCATGTGACTTTCATACATCATCTTGGACCCCTAAGATTGCTCATGCTAAGTTTCAAGCCTTGAACCACATTTTTGATCAGTCAATTGGATAGTTGACCTAAAAATCAACTGTATTGGGAAAAAAGTCAAATATGACCAATTTACAGTCAAACTTCATAATTTTTGATCCACAACAACATGTTAGACTCATATGTACCATTTGATCAAGTTTGGATCACAACTCCTCAAGAAATTTGATCAAATCATCAAAATGACAAAATTGTCAAAATTAGGGTTTTGACTGAGAAAGGGCAATTTCTGATTTTTAACCAAGCCAATGACCAATTGGGTTCAAACATGATTTAAAGGGTTCAATAGAATCATCTTGACCTAATTACATGGTTCAAAAGATCTCAAGTTCATTGGATTGACAGATGAATTTTACAGTCAACTGATCAAAAGTCAATTGTACACTGAATAGTTAAACTTTGACTTTTTAGTCAAAATCAAATGCCAAGGGTCATAATTCATTAAGATATGTCAAAATATGAAACTTGTTCACCAAGAAAACCAATTTTGAAAATTAGGGTTTTGAATTTGAAAATTTTCATAACTTAGAATTTTTCTAAGTATGGAAATTTTCTTATTTTTTCTCAACTTTCCACCACTTTTTCACCATGATGCAATTTGATTCAAAGAAAACTTCCAACATGAAAGTTGTAGTCCTCCATGAAATCTACAACTTTTCTTCACAAACTTTTCCCAAAAGATGCTTGGATCTCAAGTTATGAATTTGTGAATATAGGTCCATGAACTTCTTAACTTAGTGAAATTTTGCCCTAATTTAGGCAGATTTTTGACCCAACTTCATGGAAATTTTTCACCTAGTTCCAAGAGGTATCTCAAAATTCATTTCAAATATGGATTATAGAGCATATTGAAAGCTTTCCAAAATGTCCAAGAACTGTCCAAGATCATTTTTGGTTAGGGAGAATTGAAGAAGAGAAGTTGGCATTTTATCACTTTTGATCAAGCCATTTTTACAAGGCATCAAGTTGCAAATCCAATCCATGCTGTTTGTACATTGCTTTACAGGTCCTAAACTCACCTTACACTCCATAATTAAATGCAAACTCAGAGGTTAAAGGCTTTATTTTCACTTTTGAAGCATTGTACAAGAGATGTTTCCATTTTTGGCCAAAAGGTTACAATGCCATTTTCATAAAGGTGAGTTTTGCAACTTTGTCCATCTTGAGCCTTGAACCTGTCCCTTTGATGCAAACAATTTCCACAGGTCTCAAGCAATGTATAACAACTCTTATCATCCCTTGAGGTAGCCAGTACAAGCATGTTGCATTTGTCATTTCACCATACTTAAAATCCAAGAAAAGTTACAAAATGTGCTAGAACTTGTACAGCTAGTGAGGTTTGACCTTTGTGTCATTTCTATACATATTCACAAACTTATCACAAGCCAGAACACGATTGCATTGAAGCTAGAACTCACTCAAACTCAAAAACTCTGTTTTTCTACCAAAACTCACAGATTCTGCAAAACCATAGCCAACACAAATTTGGCTCGTGCTTTTTGTGATTAAGCACTTCATAAACATCCTACCAAAGCTATCCAAGCCCTTGCCCTGGTTCTGTAACCCCTGTTTCAGCCATTGCCATTTTCATTTTGGAAGCTTGCAACTTGACTTGTGCAAAGAGTTTCAGCCCTCCATAAAGCCAGCTAAGCATTGGAATAGCTTGAAGGAAGTTCAAGGAAGCTCACACGATCCCCAGGCCTCCATCAAAGTCCCTACATTGCTCTATCCAAATCCAACTGAAGGAGGTATTTTTCAAAACTTTATCTCTCTGAATAGGCATCCTCAAGCCACGATTTGTGAATAAAAAATGTAGTCCCTAATATGGTGAAGCTATACATATGCATACTTTTCATTTATATTAACTGAGCTAAGAGAATTTGAAGCTTGAAGTTGCTGAAATTTTTAGGTCACGAATTAGGGCCATTAAAATTCTCCTTGATCTTTTAGAGTTAGGTTACAAATTTTATATGGTTGGAATCGTGAGATTAAATGCTACATGTTTTATGTTATGAGATTTTGTTTTTGTGCAAACATGTGAAAGTTACAGATTTGAACATAACACGCGCGAAGGAGAAGATGGATGGAGGACGGGAATGACTGTCTTGGGCTTTTTGGCGCGCTTGGGCCTTTTTGTTTATGCTTTTTGCACCCCCTGGATTACTTTTGCACCCCCTGACTATTTTCTTATATTTTTGCATTTTTCTTGCATATTTTATATTTATTACTTGCATTTATTTTTTTAAATGACAAAAAATACCCAAAAATAATTTATTCATTTTCACATTTTTATTTTATTTTATATTATTTTTTTGCATAAAAAATAGTTTATTTAATAGAATAGAACTTATTTTCTTAAAATAATTTATAAATATATTTAAATAATACTTAATATTTTTATTATATTATTTATACACATAAAATATTTATTTTCATACATATTTAATTTTTAATATTGACATATAATATTATTTATTATTTTCTTGTACAAAAAATAGACAAAATAATAATATATGAAATATATTTCTTTTAATCAAAAAACTAGGGTTTCCCCCTTGCAAAAATAATAATATTATTTTTCCTTATTTTCTAGGGTTAGTTAATTTATTTTCTCATACAAAAAACAAATATAAAACATTTTTTAACATAAATACATTTGCATTGCATTTTAATATTTGTATATTTATTTAATTCGCACCATATTCGATTGGGTTGTAATAAATATATTTAGGTTTATTTTGTGCAATATCCCTATTCAAAAACTTGTATCCCCCCTCCCATAATAATTGTTGTAATAACTTAGTTTACGTTTACGCAATTTATTGCTTTCCTATACCATGTTTAGTAAACTAGGGTTTGCATGACAAGAACCAAAAACAAAACAAATAGAAAAGACCTAATCCAAGACAAATCAAAAGCATGAACAATGACACACTTTACACACAAGCACCCCTAGGGTTTCTCCCACTTGGTTGCCTAAATAAATGGCCATGTT